TTAATATGCAATATTTCCTCACAGCTCATAACGACATGAGATCGATTAGAGAGGGTGAATATTTACCTCTTTTGTTCAGAACGGATTTATTAAAAAATCATGACCAAAGCCTGAGTGTCTGAATCACTGCTGTCAAACAGCCGGAGTCTCGGCCAAAACTTGGCTCATAAACTTTGCCTCTCTACATCTCCTCCCTCCCTCCCTCCCTCCCTCCTTTTCTCTGCATTAGTGTCGTCTCTTAAAAAGTAAAATAAAATTTAGAAAAAGTAGCAGCTCTAATAGTTTTTGGAATTTGACTCTTGGGAGCTGTAAAAGAGAGAAGAAGAACGGGTGCTGCTGAGAACCTGCTGTGGAGAACAGTTGTTCTAACACAGCACAGTGACGTGAACAGATGGTCTCCAAATTAACCGACCTGTGGATAAAGACTTTAACTGGGGGAGAGCAGTGTGTGTGTGTGTGTGTGTGTGTGTGTGTGTGTATGTGTTCAGTAGCTTGATGTGAGTAGTGATCTATTTGGACCGAAGCTGCTCAGTCAAATTAGCTGTTGTGGAATCCGCTCTTGTGGCTGCAGCTGCCACTAATGAATATTAGCAATTAATACGATGCTCATTTTCTCTCTTAGTAGTTTCCTCAATCAGAGATCGAAACGAGGCAACATCTTCAAACACTTCAACAGCTTCACATGAAACTGAACTTAGAGGAAACTTTGTGAAGCCGTGTGCAGAAAGGAGCATCTGTGGTTGTTGTGTCTGAGGAAACTGTGAAAAGACCATGATGATCTTATTCTACTGTGTTTTTACTGAATGGATTTTATCTTGGAAATCTGTCTTTAAAGAGCAGGAACTCTCTGTTAAATGCTCCCGTAGGCTGATTGGTGAGTCACAGCTTTAAACCCAGCGTTTCGGACAGTTACTAGATAGAGAGATTTTAAATGACGACTCTTTGAGCAGTGAACTTCCTTCTGGATGAAGCTTCATGATCCCAAAGTGCAGAACAACACGGTATAAAGAGCTTTGTTCCAGCAGACATCACTCATATGAATAAGTCGTAGAAGCAACGTTTATTTAATCATTTTATTTATATTTCTTTACCCTGTGCACGTGATGTTGTCTGTGCTGTGTGTTAAATGTGTAAATGTAAGATGGACGACTCTTTTTACTGCAAACCAAATTTACCTACGGGCACAAATGAAGTCACCTCAACCTTCACTGTCAGAGAAGTTAAAGAAAACCAGGAAATATTCACACGTGAGAAGCTGGATGTTTTTTTTGGCATCTCTGCTAAAAAAGAATTATTTAAATTATTAATCAGTTATAAAAAAAAAGCTGCAAAAGTTGCTCTAATCAAAGTGGGGTCTTTAGGAGGTTCCTGTCTTCGGCAAAAGGGGAATAGTGTATTTTCACTACATTTCCATCCATAAGTGACACAATGACAGAATGTATGACTGTTTTGTTCATGGCTTTCTGTAATAAAACATCTGAAAGCAAAAATCTTATCAGATGGAGTCTGTGGTCTAATTTGTGTCAGTTTAAGAGTCCTACATAAAATGAAATAGTTTGAGAACCACTGATCTAATCGATTAATGATTTCAGCTCTAGTTCTGACATTTGCTTTAGTAACAATAAAAGATGAGAAACTGAAAATATGAAACGAAGGAACAACAGAACAACGTTGATCCCGACATAAACCGTTCATTTAGAGTCAACGTGCAGCTGCTGTTTTTAATCAGAGGATGATTGGCACCTTTTCTCTCCAACTTATTCTTCTATTCACTCTGAGTAGCACTGATCAATTCTATCACACATCACAGATTAAATCAGATCCGTGTCATCAAAGGATGCTAACGAATTAGCCCCCTCTGTCGTACCTGGACATGTTGTCTGGCGAGCAGGCCGAGTTGTTCCCCGTGGACACGCTGGTGTCCATGCTGTCGGAGCTCTCCAGGCTCAGAGTGTCGTACGGCTGCTCTCCGGCTGACGGGGGCTGGTGGTGCAGGATGGAGTGGTGAACCATAGGAGGGGGGCCCATAGAGCTGTGGCTCAGCGTGGGGCTGTAGGCCATGATGGGGGAGTAGGAGGGCGACGAGGAGGACACAGTCATGAGGTGGGTCTGAGAGCCGTGGAGCGCCTCCCACTGGCACTGAGCCTCCGCCGCCGCTCTCTGTTTGAGCTCGGCCAGACGACGACGCTGCTCTTCAATCACCTGCTGACCTGGAGGGAGGGAGGGAGGGAGGGTGAGATCTGATCAGTGGATCTGCTCTGATTTTGATCTGATGGTTCAACGACTGAACTTAAACCCTGCAAGCAACACCGACACCAAGTCAGCAGAGGTCCGTCTGTTTCTACAGAAACCAGCAGGCTGTCTGTAGAGGAGGTCGTCCCAAGCATCTAAAACTGAAGACCTGATACAACCAGCACCAGCCCACAAACTGCAGGACCACGAACCATGCACCACACATACAAGTATGTGCTCTCTCAGGATCACAAGCTCAAAGATAAAAGTCCCACCACCGCCAAGTTGGAGCCAAAGTTAAGCACAGGTATCCGTCTAACTTCTCACATTTCAAATCCATGCTGCTGTGCACCTGATACCGGGCATATACATCTGGAGAGAGGTGCCCAGGAGCTCAACACTGAACATGCAAGATTTATTCTCCGCTAGCAGGAACATTCATGGAAGATTGATGGGAGAAGAAAAGAGAGTTCAATGTTACAGATAAAAGAAAAGATGAAAAGAAATCTTTTGGGGGAGAAGAGTTAATGACACACACCAGAGATGAAGAGAGGGATGATGAGGAGAGAAGCGTGAGGTGAAGACAGGGTCTGAAATTAACAACCGCCAAGTGTCAAGTTCTGGTAAATGCTGCCTTTGATGGATAAATCAACAGAAGTAACCTGCCAGGCTTTCTCTCTCTGATAGGACTTGATTTATTCTTTTAGGTACATACAGTCTCTGGGGCCGGCTGCACAAAACACCTTAAGTGTGACACTTGAGGTTAAATTCCTCCTTAGCTGAGGGAGTTACTTCTGGGTGTGGCACAGACTCTCCAATAGGTTTTCTTCGTTAAGGAAAAGTCTAAGGCATTTACGGCAGTGAAGGAGACTTTACAGCAGTAAAATTCTACTGTTTCCGTGGAGACCGTCGTGATGTTTCCATCCAGCATTCAAACTCGGTAACTTTAAGTGATTCCTTAAGTATAAGACTAAGATAAGGAGAAAACCTTAAATACTAAGTGTAAATTTTAACATAACCTTAACACAGACTTTCATTTTGTGCGACCGGCCCCAAGCACCTGAAGTTTTCTACTTACGGTTTCTTTTCTCCTTCGCTGAGGGAGCTACTTAAGGGTGTTAAGGGTGTTTTTCCTTACTTTAAAAGTGAACATTTTAAGGAAACCTTTAAGGAGAAGACTTAAGGGTGTTTTGTGCAAATGTTTTTATTGTAAGGAAACCTTACTCAGACTTTGAGGAAAACATTAAATTAAAGTGTTTTGTGAAACCGGCCCCTGGTCTTTACCTAAACTGACGTCTAAAAACAGGCTGCTGATTGGCTAAATTTATTAACTAGCCACATGGTTCTCCACCCTTATTTATCTGAATGATGAACTAAAACAGGAAGGTGAACGGGAGATTATTCTCAGCTGTTTTTGTTTGTTGACCCAGTTAATTTCAGATCCTGAATGGAGAGACAGTAGATGGAAAAACAAAAAACAAACAAACAAACAAAAAAACAACAAAAACCAGGATGAATCCCGCTGAACAGAACGAAGGTAACTCCTGGACACAGTGATCCATCTACCTGCTGAGCTTTCCTCTACGGTGTTGTGTCTGGAGGTCAGGGGCTCTGTGGTGCAGCAGCACGGGAGGAGACAAATTCACAGACAAAGACAAGACGTGAGGAAAACCTGAGCTGCAGACGCTGTTGTGCGTGTGAGTGTGTGTGTTTGTGTGTGTGTATGTGTGTGCGTGTGACCAGCTCTCGTTGCCGACCCAGCACCCGTGGGTGGCAACCAGCTGAGCTAAAAACACCAGACAGCTTCGCTCTCATCCATTTAGTCAAACAGCAGTGACGCATGAGGAGCCCTGTTCTCTCCGACACACACACACACACAGACGGAGCAGCGGACACCGGACAATAACCAACACTCACAACTTAACGAGAATATGAGTGTGTAATACTGAAGGCACTGAATGAACATCTGTTAACTGACGGTTTGTCCAACAGTGTTTACTCATTATTAGAAAATGTTACTGCACCGCTTTATCTTTATTACCTGGTAGTTTTCTAGAAGTCTCTCACATTCAAGTAGAACATATGTTTACATGCACATCTGTGAATATCTGCTGCTTCTGCTGCCGTCTTCTTTTTTATGTGATGCACTTTAAACTACAATAAACGTGTGAATTGTGCCACATAAGTAAAATTATTACTTGTTAATCTCTTGGCGATAGTTAAGTACTTAAGCCCATGTTTGATCTGGATCAGCTGTTCACAACCTTTCAGGATTGTGATCCTAGTTGCTGCTGACTGAATTAAATATTAATGAACACCTCAGGGTTAACGAGCGTTGGTTAATGTAAAGTGAAACTGAGGAGCAGACCGGGTCAGTTACCTTTCTGCTGCAGAGCGAGCTGCCTCTTGGTCTCGATGTCCTGCAGGGTTGCAGCCAGGTTCCTGGGCAGACTGCCAGTGCTGTTGGCCACCAGCAGGGGGCTCTGCTGGGTCAGAGGATCAGAAACAAGTCTTAAATCTTCTTCACCATATAAACCTGACTAGAGGTCGACAGCTACACCTCTACAGCCGATGAAAACAAACGGTCTACCTTGGAGCTTGAGTTGCGTCCCAGTGTTGCTGCTCCCTGCTGCAGAGGGGATGCAGAGCCGGATTTGGGCTGATGAAGAGAAAGTCCTGGATCACTGTCCAGCTTTGAGCGGAACACCTGAGGGAGGAAGCACACAGGAAGAAGACGTCAAGCTCGGGAGTTTGTGTTAAAACCGACCCATGTGACGGCAGGTGAGGATGTTAGAACGATGTTAGAAGAACAACTGAAATCCACTGTGGATGAGCTGCAAGCACCTGATGGAAAATCACGGTTAAAAGCACGACGAGCGTTTTGCTGCGAGCACGTCTGATGTCAGCACTTCACTGATGGAGTCAGTGATATAAAGAGCTGGATGAAAAATATCAGTAGCAACAGACAATACATGAGTTAATAGCATAGTTGAATCATAATGCTGCATTCACATACTACACGATTTCTCAGCTTTATTCCAAACTTATAGTTATAATCTGTAACTTTTCCACATTAAAATGTCTAAGACCATCTACACCTTTGTTCTATACGTTGTTGAGTTGTGTTCTTACATTATCTTTAATGTTTCCATCAATTCTCAAACCAGAGAAACTGATTTTAATCACGGTAACGCTCCGTTTCATTTGGTCGCCTGTCAATGACATTATATCCTCTATGATCATGTGTCAGTGTGTTTGTCTGACAGAAGCTCAACACTGACTTTTATCCAGTTTTAAGTCACATTTTTAAGGTACACTTTTTACACCTTGCTCGTTTTAAACTCTATATTTTAACCAGATGAAGGATTTTAGTCATCGGACGTCTGGATCTGAAGTTATCAGAGAAACAAGCTGAGAAAATGTCAGACAGCTCAGCTCCCAGTCGCTCCCAGTTTTGGGGACGAGGAGGAGACCGAAAAACCTCCTGAACAACCGACACTGAAGGAATCCAAACTGCGAGAAGCTGACGACAACGGTGGTGAAGACTACAATTCCCATGATCCCACGCTATTTCACATCACCCGAACGCTTGAGACGCCCCTCACAGCAGAAGTTACGTACTGTGTCTTTAAGAAGATAAAATGGCAGACTAACTTTTCCAAATGATGTGAATGCAGCATGATTAAACCCGACATGAAAAGGCCACCACACACACACACACACACACACACACACACACACACACACACACACACACACACACACACACACACACACACACACACACACACACACACACACACACACACACAGAGCCAACTTCTTCTCTGGATGTGAGTGAGTGGCAGCAGGTTGAAGTTTGGCAGAGACATCACAGCAAAAAGGATGAGTGGGAAAAATCAAAGGGGAGAAAGAAGAAAGGAAGCCCTCTACCTGCAGCACAGGCCTGCGGCCCGAGAGAGACTTGGCTGGCAGAGGGGGAGGACATAGCTGGCTGGAGTCAGCCATCAGCTCCTGGTACCACTGCTCTAAATCTAGCTTGGGCAGGTGAGGCCTACTGCCCTCAGCCTGGTACTGGAGAGCACAGAGAGGAGCGGCGGAGCAGCAGAGAGGAGGAGGAGGAGGAGGAGGAGGAGAGAGGAAGGAGAGAAAACAGGAAAAGATTAGAAAGCATTCAAAGACAGTGGAGAGAGGGTAGAAACATTTGTTTTACACACTCTCAAAAGCTGTAATTAAGGTTTTTTTATACTTTGGAAATTAAATATCTGCAACACATTATTGTTGTCAGCTGCATTATACTTCATACCCTCCAGCTGCTAAATCTCTGTTTTACATGTCTGTGTTTTAATTCTGTTTCTGCTGCAATGACCCAGTTTCTCACAAGAACATAAAAAGTTTTTCCTCTGATTCACTTCAGCTCTCCTACAGCGTCTCTACACTTCAGAATTTAGGAATAACACTCCTTTTATTTTGTTTTCTTGCTGCTTCTTGAGGTTTTTTAACCACAGTCACAAGAACCCGCTGTCTGTTTCATCTCAACTGATCTAAAAAAACAGCTGACTGAGAGATGCTGCTTACGCAATACAGCTAATACTAACATGACTATCATGCAGCTAATCACCATGTTAAATAATACTGTCCTGGTTTTTCCCATCACTGCACAAACATTTCTCTTCTCATTGAAGTGATAAAAGTGCTTTATTCAAATTCAATTCAGGCACAACAATTTAATTTTAAGATACGGAAGCATTGACTGGGAAAAACGCAACAGACGTGATATTAAATGTGATGGATTACATAAGTAAAGTCGGCTGTAAGACAGTGAGCTACTTTCAGCGGGTCTTTGAAAACAATGGGAGTCTGTGACTTCAGGCAAACCTGCAGCACAACAGACAGTAGCAGCTCCAGACTCTGACAAATCCAGTAACATCACAGGGTTCAGAGTCTTCACGGGTTCCGGCGGGGACAGGGAGAACTCACGTATTATCCTGTAACGCTTAAAGCCATATACACACACCGACAACATCTGGAAGTCAAGAGAGATTCCCCCACGTCAGCAAAGCACCGGGGTCAGCGGGTGACTGATCAGAGTGTCTGAGTATCAGTGTTTTATTATTTTGTATTTATTGCAATTCAACGTCATGACAGAAGGTACATGACATTAGCTTATTACTGCTGATTATTAAAAAACATGTATCAATAAAATGGTTTCTTTAAACTGATGTCAGGCGGCAATTTGATGCCAAGAGACAAAAACAGGAATGAAACTATCAATAAAAGGGCTGCAGAGTAGAGCTGTCAATACTGACACATAATAAGTGTTTGACATCTAGTTTACAGATGTGTATTATTCTCCCACAATGCATTGCACAAAAGGAAGTAAGGGAATGGCTCACGGCTGCAAAAGTTGAAATAAACTGTTGTCAGTGGTGAAACATCTGCAGCAAGATTTTAGTTTACGTATGAAATCTTTTGTCTTTGAGTCACTATTTGACTGACGTCTCATGTTGTGTCACATCATTTCCTGTTAGTATAAAGCTGTTAACTATGCAATATACCAACTGCTACAACTTATACTATAATAAACAATATGTAGTACATGCTGTTTAGAATTAATAGCTAGTATTAATTTGGATTTAAACACACCGTCTCCATAAGGAACTGTAACTGTGACGTCTTGTAATTTCACAGCAGAAGAAGGAGCAGACTCATTGTTAATATTAGTGGTTGCACCTGAAGTTTGTTCCTCTTTTGTTGGTGTCCACCTGTCACATGACTTTTCAAACTTTCCATTAATCCTTGTTTGAGTTCTCGTGAGTTACTGGATAATTTACGTCTAGAAAATGCTCATATAAAACAATGGGGGGAAGAAAAAAAAAAATCACAAAGTAATAAAACATTACTTTGTTTTATAAACTACTTCCTCACACCCTCAATCAAGTGCAAGCACACGGGTGTTTGGCAGGACAAGAATAGGGAAGGACAGCACACACCTCCACAGAGAGAGAGAGGGAGGAGCCATGAGGAGAGGGGAGGCAGGAGAAGGCGGGGTCTACGGCTCCAGACTGCAGGGGCTGGCGAAGCGGGGAGGTAGGGGACGACTCCACCTTTGGCATCCCATACATCTGATTTAACTGGCCCACTGTCACATACTCCTTCCCAGAGGCAACACACACACACACACACACACACACACACAGGTGGAGAGGAGAGAGAGAGACAGGAGTGAAGACAGACACGTCAGCGAGACGGGCAGCAGGTGGGAAACATATCGAGTGCACTTAGTGACCTTCTGCATCATGAAGGTGTGAGGGGAGGAGGGCGGGAAAGGATTAAAACACACAGCAAAAAGGCGACAATACACACAACAACATCAGGGTTAGACTGATATAAACAGCCTCACTCATCTCCAACATGCTGCGATTATATCTCATTATTATCTATTTAAATGTGACATTTTGATCAGAAACCAGACAGGAATAAATCACTTTTCATATGTGTTTTATTTTCCCGTGTTTCTGTCACATGTCTCTAGAAGCTGGCGTCAATGGGAACTATTCAAAACTGCTCGAATATTTCCTCATTTAAAATCCTAATTTTGATCATTTTAGACTTTATTATGTTAGTTTAAGTTCTTTAATGGCCGTCCTGTAAGATGCATTTGACATGTTTTGCTTATTTTGCTAAATATGAAACACTAAAGATGGCGGTTCTTTGCCTCTTCCAACCAGCCAAGTTGCAGGAGATATGGTCACAAAATTATCTCTTCCTGAGTTACAGCGTTCAATAATTGCCAACAGTGTTTTTGCAGAACATTATGATGCCACAGTGAACTTGACCTTTGACCTTTTGGATATAAAATGTCATCACTTCATTTTATCTTAAAGATTTTGAGTTAAATTGTGTCATAATTAGTTTATGAATTTGCGAGTTATGGCCAAAAAATGTGTTTTGTGTGAGGTCACAGTGACCTTTGAACTTTGACCACCAGGCATAAAAAGGGTTTAGAAAAATATGTTTATATGTCTCATTGCTGTTTTGGTGGGACGCCCTGATGGATGAGGGGTTTAGGGCGCCGTCTATGACCATTACCCATCTCACTTTACCCTCATTTCCTGCCATAAAATGCCCCAAAACACCTTCATTAAACTTTTTTTTCTGTTCCAGTACCAAAGCTCCCTACATGCTACACAGAAAATGCTTTTTCCGAATAAATAATGAAGTTATAACTGGATTATTGATATTTATTGATATTGAATATTTTTTGCATCAAATATTACAGTTTACAACCTGCAGTTAGTAATAAAAATACCAGCCTCAATAAAAACCTACATTTGTCATTCCAACCCTCATTAAATCCTCTGCATTCCTGATGTGATCCAGTCACACTATCCTCAGTGTCTACTGTAAATTAACACAGCAGCAGAGAGGGTGAGCACATGCACCACAGAGCAAGGCCAACAGTACAGTCAGTCTGATTAACTACAGGCCAGCAGAGGGAGCAGCATGACATGGAAATAGAGGGATGAGAGAGACAGAGAGAGGAGGAGAGAGACTGAATTAAGACAGAAGAGTCAGGAAGGAGACAGACAGGAAGTGATGGTACCTCGCAGGCGCCAGCTAATGTAGCATCTATGGCAAACGAGCGGCCGTGCGAGGCGGGCTTGCTGCTGTCACGGTGGTACATCTTATAAACGTCCGACAGCCTCATATACTCCTGAAGCCAGCGGCCGCCAACAGTCAAGACAGGATGAGAAGCCATGAGGACAATGTACAGTACACTCACACACACACAGAGAAGCACAGAAACAACCCACAATGCCTTGAGCTTTTCAGTTTGGAGGTGACATCTTCAGACTTCAACAACCAGGTGCATTTTTTTATCTGGTTGTTGTCATGTCAGTGAAAAGGTGCAGAGTGTGTGTATGTGTGTGTGTGTGTGTGTGTGTGTGTGAAAACAGACAAACAGGAACACACTCAGCAACAAACACAGCGTCTCTTTAGCATCACGAGCAGCTGACACACAATCAGGTCACAGACAGACAACCAGTGATGTAGTGGTCAATATGTTAAAACTGTCACATCCGGTTGATCATAATGCAGTGAGAAGATACTGGTAACGTTTCTGAACATAAAAAGTGAGCAGAGGGAGATTCTAGGTGGGTTAATCTTGGGTTAATCCACTACATCCCGGGACTAAACCCAACTTCAACTGAAAGCTACTGTGCTGGCTCGTCTTAATTATCAGTAATTAAAGGTCCCATACAGTGTAAAGGTCTGTGTCCATGTGTAGTGTGATTATAGATCAGGTCTAGCTTCTATATTAATACTGTGAAAGTATCAAAGCCTCAGTCCACAGAGAAATGCACACAGCCTGTATTCAGAAACTGAGCCTTAAAACCAGCCGTCAGGACTTCTGGAACTTTGTGATGTCACAACAAAGCAGACACCAAGCCCCGCCCACCTGGACCCACCATCCAAACCTTGCAGGATTTGTTTTCTCTGAGTGTTTTTACCTGAAATCTTCTATATTTTTATTGGATCACTCAATAAAACAGTGAGCCAATCAGAAGAGAGGCTCAGAGCCTCCTCTCTTCTGATTGGCTCACCGACCTGTTGTTACTAGAGCTCCAGAGAGAAGCCTGAGAGAGGAGATGTAAAACTACACTGAGATGGTTTTTGGTTCTTAAAACCATAAATATATCTTCTTATGGATCAAACACTTCAAAGTGTAAAATATGGGACCTTTAAGGTCTAGTGGAAAAAGCAACAGCACATCACAGGCACATTTAGAGCCACAGTGCGACCAGGACACTGACAGTGCAGACAGAGTGACCTTTTGGGGGTGAGTTGCACAGAGAGAAAGCAGGGAGGGCGTAGCGGGCTTCATGCAAGGGGTCGTTAGTCCGATTACCTCCGTAGGGCTGCTGGGGTACAACTGACAGGAAGGGGAGGGATGTAAGTAGGAAGGAGAGGCTTGACAGAGGGAATGCTGGGAGGAGTGGACATCCTCCAACAACAGGTCAGCCTCGCTGATATGGAGCATTTCCTGTTTCAACAGTCAGGGATAAGTGTTTTTAATACCTACAGAACAGTTACGGGACACTAGATACAAACTCAAAAGTTAAAGGGAACACGTGACACAGGTTTTCTGTCACTCGCCTTCCCTCTGCTGCAGCTTCAGGCGGCGCTGCCCAGCGACAACATGTCAATATGTTAATAACATATCAATTACATCTTCCTTCATAAATCTCTGGATTAGTCTGATTCCACCAACAAGTCACTGCCAGTTAAAGAGGTAAATGAGGTGAACAATCAGCTGTGAGTCATCCAAGCTGCGTTTTGGTTTTCAGGTCGGGAGGACCGAGTGTGGATGTGCGTTTGTTTTCACTGGACACACACTGAGCTTCAGTGGTTCTCTCACCTCTCTCATTGCAGTGGACGACTTGGGGAAGCTCTTCCCTCCAGTCAGGCTGTGGTATCTCTTCTCCAAGGCCAACAGCCTCTCCTTCTCCTGGAACAAAAAAACATAAGAGTTATTAACTTTTAAAATCTGGGACAAATGAAGAAAGTCTCCGCAACACCAGTATTATTGTAAATTGCTTACTTTTAGATAGCTTCTCTGCAATTATCTATCACTGTGCTTTCTAAAATGCCACTTTGAATGAAACTTTATTTAATGCACTGACAGTGTGAACAGGTAAATACTAACAGGGCACCACGACTCTGGAACAACCTTCCCCATGAACTTAGACTCACAAAATCAGTATCTTCTTTTGAACTGCCTCTAAAAACACATTTCTTTCAAAGTTTTTGCATGTGTTTGTTGTTTGCTTTGATATTCTATCCTTGTGAAGCACTTTGTAATCTCTGATTTTGATGAATAAACTTTATTATTATGATTATAAATGCACCTTTTGCAGCATTTGCAGTGTGAGGGTTCTGTCTTTAGTCAGACGCTCACACTCCTGAGACGCCTGCAGGCTGAGCTGGTTGGCCTGGTTCTCCAGAGCAGACACCTTCTCCTGCAGAAACAAACACAACACACAATTAAATCTTGAATGTAAACTGAAACAGCAGCAGAGCAAATCAGATGAAGTGTAGGATAAGAGTCAGACTAAACAGATGCTGAATTTCTGCAACTGGCAGCTTCATCTCTTACACAAAAAACCCATATTGTTCAAATCATAATCAGGATATTCTGTGTCGGTGTGTGTTGGGCGTCTCCTCACCTTCCTCTTGGCCACGCTGCTGTGGTACTCCGCTCTCTCCTGCAGCAGCTGCTGACTGATGGTTTCTCTCTCCTCCTCCAGGCTGCTCTCTCTCTCCAGCTGCTGAAACTCCAGGTCCTCAAACTTTTTGGTTCCTGCTTCCAACGTCTCTCCATCCTGATAAAGGCCCACACACACACACACACACACACACACGTTATCAGCGGTTACATCATATAAAACAGAAAAAACAAACTAGTTACAATGCTCATTTTAAAGCCATCCACTGTCCCCAGACAAGCGTGACTGCTAACAGCAAAGCGGCAACACCGTGACGTCTGTATCTGAAACGCCTTCCCAACATGGCTGTAGCTCATTTTGTGGGGGACAACTAAAAGCACAGCGTGCTCAGTCAAGCAGACTGCCATGAAGAACATGCTCCTACTGCAGCACAGCCACTGGTGTGTGGTACTGTAGAGTACGGGAGGAAGGGGACGGTCACATACACTGAAAAAACCATATTTAACACCGAGAGATTTATGGTAAAAATCTGATTTGATTCTTTGCTTCGTCACTATAACTCTTCTCTGCTGCTACAGAATAAACATCAACAATCCTCCAAACACTATATGGAAAAAATTCTTAACAAAACATATGTATTAACATATCTGCATTGAAAACACTACATAATATAAAAACAGTATGTAAATACATATTCTACTGTGTATTCCAGAGGTCTTCTGTCTGTCCTTCTCTATGTAGCTGCTGACAGGTTCAAGTTTTACAGCTGTTCTGTCGTCAGCAGAGTGATGAGTGTTGGTCTGTGGCCCGGTTCAGACCTGGTGTTAACATGTGTCTTCAGTGATCCGATCACAAGTGGTCAGCTCTAAGTACATCAGTTCACGCCTGGCTTTAAAATGCATCACATCATCCGTCTCGAGTGACTACATGTGATCGGATCTCCCTTCCCTGCTCTATATGTAAACATGTATGTGTGGTTGTTTTTAGCCACGGGTCTGTTGTCAGTGTGTGTGTGTGTATGTGAGTGAATCATTGCGCTGCTCACAGCTCTACAGAAATAAGGTTTTATCCATTTGAAATAGTAAAATATTTTCAGTTCAGTATAAACTGTGTTGGGACTAATCACACGGTGGCAGAGGACGTCAGTAGAGTAGGCGGCCCAGGAGCGATACATGTTCACACTGCTAAAAGGTTGTGGTCCAGATCACCTCTGAATGTGGTCTGAGTGATCGGATCTCAAATGCGTCCTCAGTGCTTCTCGGGTGCGTTCACACCTGAACTTAGAGCTGTCCACTTGTTATCGGATCACCTGAGACACACGTTAATATCAGGTCTTGAACAGGGCTTGTGTAGCACTTGTGAACCAACAGCCTCCAGTGTCAATTCACTGATGCAGTCTGGGGTGAAAATGATTTATTTTTGCAAGTGATCAAAACAAAATGTCTTAAAATGTCAAACACCAGAGGACAAATTGCAAAAATTTTTTACACTTTCATCGACTCTATCTTGAGATGTATTTCTGCTGTTCTGATGGAAGCTGGAACTCCCTCATGTCCATCATAAAATTCAGTACAATCAGATCTCAAACTTCATTCCTCTCGGATTGTGAGCCTTACTAGTTACTTACAATAATTAATTCCAAAAAGGGCTCCTGCTTCACCTGGAGCTTGACACAGTATCAATTGACAATTGATGAGATATTTAAACAAATAAACACAGTCTACATTAATTATTCTACTGTTTTTTTTCTTGTTTACCTGCATGATAAGTAATAAACAAAATGCACAGTCTGACTCTAAACCAAACAACAGCATTAATCCACATAGAGAAGTCACAGGATGAGAGCGAGGACAGACAGAGAATGGATCTAGTCAGGGCCTATGTTAATTGATTAGTGAGGAGTTATATAAATTATGTGAGCCACGACAAATCGCAGAAGAGATGCAGATCAGATTCACACATGCAGTGCAGCAGCAGCAGCAGCAGCAGCAGCAGCAGCAGCAGGAGCAGCAGCAGCGGCAACAGCAGCAGCGAGGGTCGTGTCACATGACCCACACTTTTAACCAAAATGCATCACTAACAGCTGAAGTGACCGGGGGCCATTTGTGTGCCCCCGTGTCAACGCGAAGGCTCTGGTGGCGTGTAGGTGTGGCGTGGAGGAGGGAGAATTCCTGCACGTCTGTGAGGGGCACTGAGGGGGATTCTCGTAAATACACACAGTGCATGTGTGTGCATGTTGCAGACCACTGCCAAAGGGTTAAAGGTGACAATAGCACTATGTGTGCTGGTACTGTGTGTGCCGAGTGGTGGCACACATACTGTCCAACACAGGCAGAGAGAAGTAACTACAGAAGTTTTCTGTATGTCTTTCCACTATCAATACTTATATCAATAAGTGATATAATAAATACATTTTCACCAGTCACTGTGCTGTTTTTAGGGGTTCTACTGTTTTTGGGCTGTATCAAATGTTTTACTGACTGTTTAGAGTGGTTACTTGTCATTGTTGTTATTATCCTTATTAGTAGTTTTACTGTTGTTCGTATCTTTCGTCATTTTCTTGTTCCCTCTTATGTTCACTTGAGTGGACTCCAGGAAGAGTAGTTGCTACCTTGGTAGCGGCTAATGGGGATCCAAATAAATAAATAAATAAATAAATAAGCGAGACTAGAAAGAAGGTAACTCTGTGGCTGCAGGTCAGGAGGAACTGGGTTGGTGCTTCAGGGGAAGGCTAATGCAAACTAGAGTCTGTAGGTGAGGGGGTGGTGGTCTAGGTGCTTCTGCTCGATTGACGACCCACCCTTTTGAGCTGTTCCTGCAACTGTTCTCGCAGGGACTCGGGACAGTTATGAAGCTGGTTCTTCAGCTCAGCGTAGCCCTCCTGGAGGCTCTGCAGGGCCCGGCGCTCGGCCTCAACATTAGCCCTCTCCTAGAAAGACATGACACACACCCAAACATAGGATGGATGGGTGAGGGGAGAGAAAGAGAGAGAGAGAGAGAAACACACTTCTCAAAATCCACGCCATGCAAATAAAAAAAAAGCTGCGAGGTGTTAGCAACAGACACGTCGTGATTGATTTTCAGAGCTTGGCAGAGCACAGGAAGTAGGTACTAAACCTTTGGGATGAAATGATGAATGGGTGCTCATGGGTAACAGGAGACATTTTTTGGTTCCAGTCTTATTTATAATCCATAAATCAAATGAGAACGAACCTAGAACTTGCTAAAATGAACCATTCATTTTGTCACTGAAGGTTTAAAATCCTCAGAGAACCGACATAATCTCCAACAGGTAGAACTTCAATAAACTTTGAGAAAATTGCCTCATAATTTACTTGAAATTTAACGGCCCCAGATCATTTATAAAGTCACAGCTGAGCAATAACGTGACAGTAGTGACACTGTCTCAGTTAGAGTACAGTAGCTCTCCAGTTAAAATACAGAAGCAGCATCTCTCCTGGGTGCTGCTCTAGTTTCAAACTCAGGAATCAATAACTACTAACTTTGTTGTTTCTGGAACAAAGGTGGCTTTACAGTTTCACCTTAGACCCTCTGTGTTTTGATGTGGGAAGGCAGACAGGTCCTCGAGGACTGACAGCATAAACAGGAGACTCACTTCTCTGTTGTTTCTGTTCGGAGCTGAGAGGAAGCTTGGAGCAGTTAAAAGAGACACCAGTGATGTCTCTTTTATAACATAATGCCCAAAAAATTATTTGTCAGTTGTAGAGCCACTGTTTAATTAAGGACTTATAAACTGAACAAAAATATAAATGCAACACTTTTACCTTTAGTCCCATTTTTAATGAGTTGAAATTAAAGATCTAAGATTTTTTCTACACACAGTTGGATGATTTCTCTTAAATTTGTTCACTAATGTGTCAATGAGCAACTCCCCTTTGCCGAGATCATCCATCCACCTGACAGGTGTGGCATATCCAGATGTGGATTATTGCACAGGTGTACCTTGGGCCGGTCACAATAAAAGGCCACTCTAAAACTTGATCGTGACAAAGTTCTTGCTATCGATTTGTGATTATTATATAGTAAATGAAATTGATCATTATTATCATCATCTTATTAATTATATTAACCATTGCTGCCTGGACACAAATAACTAAAACGTAGTCTACTGACTGAACTTTACAGCTAAATGTTCGATTAAAAGTTGAATTTACTAAGATTATTTACTGCCGTTGGGTCTTATCAGTTTATCACACTTAAGCCCCATTACTAGTAACAGGAAGTGACATCACACCCGCTGCAAGCAACCGTTACAAACACTTCACCTAAGTGACGCTAGCTAGCTTTGAAGATGCTAAAAAGTAAAAACAGCCGTTAGCGCATATTTAGCCGGCGTTTGACTAACATACAGTCGGGCTCCCATTTATTTCCGTACTGACCCCGGCTTCACGTTTATTATTATCCAACTCTTAGCAATGAGCCACCAGACACTTGAAACCTTTGCTCCGCCAGTGTTGAATCCCAAACCCTTAAGCTTTAGCTACAGACAAACCGAGCTAGCAAGCAACTGAACCAAACCTGCCAACTGATGATTCGACAGTTTAAAACACGTTGGAAAGAACACGTTAATCTATAAACCTAATAAAAACTACCACAGTTATCAGCCAACGCTGACTTACGTACATTTAAAAGGATAATGTAACTTACATTCTTAACAGTTTTCAGCCACTTGAGTTGTAAATAATCCAACCCGCAGCAGGTGACATGACGTCAGGTTGCGTTCACGACATTGCCAAACAAAACGTAATAGGGTCCTGAGGCCTGCACACCAGGAGGCGTGACGTGACCCTCCAGTTTTTTTTTTCTGTGTGTTGCATTTATATTTTTGTTCAGTTTATATTTATCTGCTAATTTTTACCAACATTTTCAAGCCAATGCAGATCCAGTTTCCTGAGAAGGACTTCCACATAAACTGACATTTTCTTGGTCATAATGAGGCACAAAATTCAAAGACAGGTTTACAGTGTAATCGGGCAGGAAACACAGGGACATCTGACCCAAAGCAATTATTCCTGGTTCACTTTTTGCTGCAGACAAAAACTTTAAACCTTTACAAGAGCTGATTTTAACAATTTCACAACAAAAACTCAAGACACTAAGCAGGTAAATGTGTTTTCTCTACACGTCCTGTCATTCCTGCGAGTGTTAAGTGTTGGATGTAGGTAAAAGAAAAAAAAAGGAACTCCTTTAACCCGCTACAGAGGACATGCTACAGCTACTGGAACACCTTCATTTATACGTCTCTTGCAAGAACCCGTGCACTACAGAACCAAAGACTACAGATCCCACACAGCCACTGGAGGGCAGTTGTCCTGGCCTACAGGCGGGTCTGTCATGCAGACAGTGAAGAAGAAGAAGAAGAAGAAGAAGGAGGGGAGCGAAGTGGATCAGATTCAGTGACTTGAAGTGCTGAGGAGGCAGAGAGAGGATTAGAGGTTAATGGATGTCAGTTAGTTAGCGAGGAGGAGTCGAGCTGAGGAGGAAACAGGTGAGAACTGACAAAACACTAAGTGGAAAACATGCGAGAGAGAGAGAGAGAGAGAGAGAAAAAACACCCGAGGAGGTAAATCCAGTCCTTTATTTCCTCAAATTCTCTAATCATCTGTGCAGTAAATTCAACTCTGCAGGAAACAAACAGGAAACTGACTTATGTAGGGAAGAACATGTAGAGGATGTAAGAGACCAGAATGTTTAGAAGATTGTAAAAAAAAAAAAAAACACAGGCAGTGAGTGTGTGTGATTTCTAAGTGTCAGATAATGTTACAAAAACCTCAGCAAATACCTGAATCCTACACAAAACATTTCAAACGCTCTCTCTACCTTGTCTTTTTCCCTCTGGATGGCGCTCTCCAGCTCGTCCAGCTTGTGCTGCAGCTGAGTGATGATGTCCGTCTCAGCCTCCATCTGGTCGAGCTCCGCCTGCCTCTCGCCCTGCAGCAAGGCACGCTCCATCTCCGCCTGGAAGAGCACAACAAAAAGCAGCCTGAGCTCCAGTCCTCCACAGACGCACATAACCACACGGTTAAAATACTGTCAACTGTGTTGACCCGAGTCTGGACTGGTTTCAGAATAAATCAAATGATATTCCACCAGCCTCCACTTCCTGTATCCTACCTCTTGTTTGGACTCCTGGAGCTGCTGCTCCAGCTCAGTCAGTCGAGTTTTGAGCTCGTCGATCCGAGCCAGAACACGAACCCGCTCGTCCACCAGGTAGCCCAGCTCCAGACGACCTGCGCTGCCTGAGCTGGAGTCCTCGTGCTGCGTGGGGGAGGGAACAGGGGAGATCAGGCTTTCAAGAAAGGAAGTGAAGTCAGGGGGGAAGGGAAGGACACACCTCTCCATTACCTGTGAGATATTTCATCAGCCCGTTGTACAGCGTCTAAAGTAAAGGCCTGAACTTTATCCTTGTTGCACTGAGCCAACTTCATCTATTTACACACAAATTTCCATTAATTTGCTTTTTTATTTTATGATCACTGAGGTTTCTGGTCTAAATGTCATTTCAGTGGATTTGAAAACAAACAAAAAAAATAATAATAATTACACGGTATATGGTCTAATGGCAGGTTATATGTAACAACAGAACAGAAGAAACTGAGGATAAATGGAGGTGATTGATTAATGAGGTTCATGCAGGTGACACAGTAAATTGTAATTAAAGCCCAAAAAAGCCAATAAATGAGAATTAAAAAAAAAAGAGAGGGAGGTGCAGGAAGTAGCTGAGTGTAGGTTTGTGAAGTTAATGTTTTCATTTGCAGACTTTCCCTCACGAATGCAAGAAATATCAACATTTTATCAGTCGTGCATCTTAATCTTAATCTACAGACGTTATTGTACAATTAAACACGTTGTTCACTAAATTCTTCACCACAACGCTTCTGGGTTTGTTTTCTGGTCATGCAGGGTCACTGATGTGTGGGACATATGTAGTTCAACCTTACATAACATGCATGACGCTCACGTCATACGCATCCACGTGAGACAATATTCTACTTGATAAAAACCAAACCTACACTTCCATGAATCTGTGACACTAATTTCTCCAAACATCCCCCCAGTCTGACAGGGTTTTATGTAAGGAGCAGATTCATAAAGAAACCTCTTGTTCGGCGTGTAAATGTGCTTTATAACAGTTTACACCGGGTGTTTCAGTCATCGGGTGCAGGTTCTCAGTCTGATCAGACTCTGAACTCTTCCTTTTACTATTTTTTCTTTTTTACAACAGTAAAAGATCACTATGATCCACTCTTCTATGACACTTGTACAATGGATACTGTAATTTAGTAACATGTTAATATGCTGGCAGTATTTTGTAGTCATTTTGCTGCTTCTGTTAAATGAATAACAAGTATACAAATGCGTGAAATCAGCTGATGGAAGGAGACGATGTGTACTTGCTTTTGTTTTTCATGACTTGAAAGAGCAAAATATGGCGACAGTTTAAACTTGGCTTGATATGAACAGACACTTTCTGATATGTTTCTCCTAGTTTTAAACTTTCCCCTTCCTCAGGATCCCTCTGATTCCTCTCTCGGATCCGCAGACGTCACTTTAAGAACCACTGGTTTAGAAAGAGCCGAGCGCATTACTTGCACATGCTGGTTCCACGGCGGCATGCAGAGAGAGAGAGCGTCTTTTGATGGAGGACATGCATTCACTCTGACCTGTCTGTCTCCATTGTGCAGTGCTGATGCTGTGCTGAGAGCAGGAGATGTCCTCACCTCCTGATGAGTGCTCTCCGTACTACTACACTCCTCCTTCAGGTTCTCATCGTCGCTCTCCCTCAGCCTCTGCGCCAGGCGGAGCGTTGCCGAGGACGGCGTCCCTCCCAGGACGTTCTCCATGGACGGTCTGCGCCCAGAGCCGTCTGCCAGCCCCCCGGGGAAACCCGTCCTCGCCGAGCCCAGAGGGTCCAGACCGGGGCTCTCTCCTTTGTTGTATTCAGCGCAGAGGTTCAGGATGGTCTCTAGTCGCTGTCTCTCCTGTGGCAAAACACAAACACAATGAAACCAGGACGTCAGGTCTGAGTGGGACAGGTGGGAGTATCCTCCCTTTTTAAACGTGGCTCATCACAAGACTCTTCCACATACATGAACCTATACTGGATTAAAACCTGAGTGTTGAAGCCTAAATGTTTAACTTTCAAATGCAAAATAAAAGAAATATACAGTAAGTGGTAAAAGAAATTGAAGGATTATTTACAGTATTTACAGTTTAAGATATTTACAGTTCATATTTACAGTAATGCAACACAATTATATTAGTAATATAAAGGAATAGGCGAGTATGATCATTGTCTTTTATTGAGTCCTCTGCCAGGGGAGGGGCCGGGAGGCAGAGCGGAGCCACACACTTGTTCTTTCTTTATTCGTTTAATAACTTTGGAAATGGACATTGTTCTGTTTTTCTTTTTGTTTTTTGTTTGTGTGTCGAAGTAAAGAGCTCAACTTTACCGAGTGGTCCGTGCGNTCATATGCAAAATAAAAGAAACATACAGTAAGTGGTAAAAGAAATTGAAGGATTATTTACAGTATTTACAGTTTAAGATATTTACAGTTCATATTTACAGTAATGCAACACAATTATATTAGTAATATAAAGGAATAGGCGAGTATGATCATTGTCTTTTATTGAGTCCTCTGCCAGGGGAGGGGCCGGGAGTCAGAGCGGAGCCACACAGTTTGTTCTTTCTTTATTCGTTTAATAACTTTGGAAATGGACATTGTTCTGTTTTCCTTTTTGTTTTTTGTTTGTGTGTCGAAGTAAAGAGCTCAACTTTACCGAGTGGTCCGTGCGGATCTTCTGAAGTGGATTAAGGCGTGGCGACTCATTAGAGCATCAGGTTGAGGCTTCATTCATTGGAAACCTACACTGAGCTTGTACTGGAACCACAGACTNGGATCTTCTGAAGTGGATTAAGGCGTGGCGACTCATTAGAACATCAGGTTGAGGTATATAGAACATAATGTAGACCAAGTGGTGCCTAAATACTACGGCTGATGTGTTTGCACTGAAGCTAATGGTAGCTAATATTATAAATTCCACTGAATTTCATCATAACACTCTGAAAATGACACTAAATTACTCTGGTGCTGGTCGGTGACCCACTTCACCTCCTCACTGATTCACCGGTTAACGTTTAACTGAACGGTCGGCGCCGCGGGACGCCAGCTACACAGAGAGATGTTCTTTATTGGATTTGAACATCCAGCCTCAGTTTCAGTGAGAGCAGACACGAAGTCTGTCAGGACTCTTCTCACGTCTGAAACAACGCAGCCGTTCACACACTGCTCTCTCCTGGGTGCAGCCTGGGAGTCAGACTCTCTGACTGGTTGTCCAGCTGTCACTATGAGGGGTCAGCCCACCTATGGGGGCCCCCCCAGGCAGACCAGGCCAACAGAGTAACCTCTGAACTCTAAATGTCAGCTGCTGTCTGCTGTTGAACCACTGGGACTCAGCGTCCCTGAGGTCTGCAGATCCTCATCAGACATCAGATTCAGGAAGAACCGGCTCCTGTAGTCCAGGATCAGAGTCCAACAGTGATATTTAAAAAGTGGGAAAATTAGCATTTGTAGCAATATTAAAGTGAAATAGGGAGTAATCCTTAATGTTAACGACTCAAGGTACACTTACTAGCTTTCCTGCAGATTCCAGCTCATGGTCTTCCTCAGCAGATGGAGTTTCTTTTTCCCATCTGCTGAGGAAGAGGCTGCTGAACGCTGCGAGGAAAGCTAGGTCGACTTAGACTCAGGCGATATCCAAACGTTATTATCTTGATACAGTCCAGACCAAATATCACAACATATGATATTATCCCAACCATATATTGTTGTATTTTATGTTTCAGTTGTTTGTTTTTTTCTTATAAACACACAACTACAGTATTTTATATTTCAGGTATATGCTAATGTGCTATGCTGCCACTAAACAAGGTTTTATTTGTCACATACCAAGTAGTAATTGTAAGGGCTGATGTCAAAATTGCGATATGAGTCACATTTTTAGGGGCAATGGCCATTTTTGCACTTCACTTTAACTGATAAAAATATAAAAATGACGACAATATGATTTTTGCTACAGTCTTGTACCAGACACACACACGTTCCCTCACGTCTGGAGAACATGATTTGTAGGTTGAGGCGTCTCTGCAGCACCACACTGGTACATTTATGGTCTGTCGTGACACATTTTATCTTCATCAAAATTGCAGCTCCTGCTATTTGGATGTCACACTTGGCCATATTGCGATTTTAATAATTCTTCTGGTTCAAAATTGTCAAATTTAAAAGACACTGACTGTTCACACTTATAATGGCGATTCAAACCAAAAGTATCACAAACAGCATCTAAACTTCACCTTACAGCAGTCAAACTATAACTCAGTAGAAACACACCTCCACAAAAATGTATGTGTGGCTCGTCGTTAGCAAAGGATAAAGGTTTCGGAGCTAAAGAAGCACTTTGTTACTTCATGCTCTTGTGATTGAGCTCAGGTCCAGTCTGTGTCTTGTTGTGTGGAGACACTTGGCAACACAAACTGTTCTCACCCACAAACAACCTCCCCTGGTGCCTCCGCTCCCTCAGACTGCAGTTTCCCACTGAGGGAGCATCTGCCTGATTAGGAGCTATAGTTTTAACCTGTAATCTGGGACCAGTTAGCTTTTAAGTGAGTGGGTGGGAGTAAAACACCCCTTTAGGCTGTAGAGCAGAGCAGAGCGGCGTATTCACAAGAAAAAGAGGCAAAACTTCAAACGTTTTCTGGCAAAGTCTACGACTACTCCCGAGTCCTCCCACTCAACATCTGCTCGAACGTACACACAGATTAGACCACTCAGCGTTCTGACGCCCGTCTCGTCTTTGTCAGGAGAGCTGACTGAAAGCCAGCGGTATCGTTGTGACTGCCAGACGGCCTTCGGGCTACCGAACCTGTGCGGTGGATGAGCGGCGGGATCACAGACAGATCTCACGGCATTAAATGTGTTTGCTCTCAACATAAATCAACTTGATGCAGCGTCACATTCGACGGCTGACATACGCAAACGGTGCTCAAATTATGCTCCTGATCAGCTGCGCGTTGACAGATTAGCGCGAATCCCATAATTTCTGCGTTTTCTTCACGTGGGTCTTTTAAACGTCAGAGGAATTTTTACGATGGGTGGCTGTTTATAAGCCTCCGGGTCTCTCTGTAGATATCATTAGCTGGCCCCTCAGGGCTCTCGGAGCTGGCTGCGAAGGAACGCGGTGGTACGACGGGTCAGTGTGTTAATCCAAACCTTTAAACCAGATGGCTTGTCCCAGTTGGAAACAAAGAGCTTCTGGCGTGAAGAACAGATATTTCCACAATTGTTCAATGAGCTGATGCAGTTGTAGGCGTGTTAGAGAAACATGTTCCTACGTCCCAAAATATAGCAAATAGCTTTTTCTTTCTTTTAAATCAACTTCCTGAGCCTTTAACGAGAGGCTTTTCACGATCATTAACCTAGAAGACAAGAAATAAAAAGAATGAAAATGTGGGTTTACTCACTCTCATGACGAACACTGTGGGGAGAAACAGCTGAAACCTTGAGATGAGGAACACATTCAAAACAAACCAACCTGGCCAAGAGGCACATGAACAAATACTGGCCTTTGAAAGCGAGTAACACCCACAAACCCCTGACACCACTATCACCACCACAACAAATCCTCCAGGAGGTTTGGAGGTGAACTCCACGGCAACATTCAGTCATTCAGCCAATACTGTCTGAAACCTAAATACTGCCCAGGTCAAACCATCAGCTCCTGGTCCTACATTGCCTCATTGCACCTTGTAGTCAAACACACTGTTTTTTGTGAAAGCTGATCCGTGAACAGTTAAATCTGCCTCTGTGAGACCTGCTGTGTCCTCGCCAAGTCACAAGTCTGAAACCACCCGACAATGTGATAAACAAAAACACACACGGCTCGGTTCAGCCATGTTTTCTGAACATCCCCAGAGAAGCACCGTAGTCTAATATCCACCTATGAACGCAGGTGTAAACATCACTCATTCTTCACTAATGCCAGTGTTGTGAACACACAGAGCTTTAAACAGAACCATCCGACTCTGTGTTTTCCAAAATATTACACAACAAATTAACAATTAACAAAATGCGATAAAATCAGAACCAAGAGTTTTGTTCTCATAAACTTCCTGAGAGAAAAACAAAGCTGCCAAATCGAAGCAGCAGACTGTTAGAGATGCAACAGCTCGTGTAAATCCCACACACATGAGTTTTTATGAACCAAACAACCATGTGGTTGTGGAGCGCCTGTTTCCCAGAGTTCACACATCCCACAGTCCTCCACGTCTCAGCTGGTGGGTGGCTCTCATGACGACTGGGTTCAATAAAGAGACACAGAGGCTGAAGCTGCTGATGATGATGTTTCTTTGAAATGAGGATGAAAAAAACTGTTCTTCATGTGGAAATTCAATCTTTTCCGTCTCTATCTTTAGGTAGGTGACATGACAGCAGAACGACGACTTCTCAAAGTTAAAGTGAGACTATGTGCTGTATTATTTAATTCATCCCCAGATTGGAAAGTAAAGGGATTGTCCATAATAATAAAACAACATATGAAAGTCCGCCGCAACAGTAGTAAGCACTTATATACGTTCTTATATCCCTGTTTTTGCATTTTGACTGAACTTTTGATGAACTGAATTTGAATAAACTTTATTTACTTACTAATAGTGACAAAAACTAATATTCCAAGTGTTTAATGCAACTGATCTGTTGATAAATAAAAGGCCAACCAAAAGTGATGCACTCGAAGATGAAACCTATAAGACAGTTTCAGAAAGTTTAATCTAAAATTGTGTCGTCTTAACATCCACATCCACACATGTTAATTACAGGATAACTGCACACTGAATGTGTCTTCGTTTCCTTGAAGAGAGAAAAACATACAAAGCTTCGTGACAGAGGTTTAACTCACGATAAAGACCTGGAAAAACTACCTG